CCGGACGAATTGTAGCTTTTTGTCTTGTCAGACGTAATTTTAATGAAGAAATGAATTGAATAAACATATATATTTTTTTCTTTTCTCAATAATTTTGTAGTTTTTAAACTTAATAGTGATTAAATTTGGATTTTTAAAATTGCCAGTTTTAATTTTAATATTAAATTTTATCATATAAATTTATAATTATTAGTTAGTAAAAATTATTTTTAATATTACACGTATTTAAAGATCTAAATAGCTATAATAGCAGGATTTTTGTTGTCAAGCTTTTGAATCTTTCTGTACTTCGGTTTTGATTGGTTATTCTAGCTTTTGTAACAATCCCCCTAGTGTAGGATCGTTAATTAATCTGAAACTTTTTAAAACCATTTATTTTCTTTCTTTTCAACACCATCACTTGATAAGACACAGAGTGTGTTGAAACAAAATGGCTATTTTTGTAGTGATTTTATAACATACTTATGTTATAAATTTTTTATAAAAATAATTATATCTGCTCTACTTTGTATTGAGCACTCTTTTAAGAATAGTAATTGTTGGTTATTGGAATTCATTCCGTGTATACCAATTATATACTTTGATATATATATATATATATATATATATATATATATATATATATATATATATTAGCTTATGGTTATTGTTAATAGTAGTGGGAGGAAATATGAAGAAAGAGATTATATAAGAGACTAGCAGTAGAGCCCGGGGATGTAACAGTAAGAGATAGATCAAGTATCGACCATCATAAAGACTGAAAAAAAAAATTGACAAAGATTATTGATTAAGGTAGACGGACACGCTTGTCTTAATTAGTTTTTTTTTTTACGAATTGGTCAAACCCAAACTCAAACAAAAACATTGTTTTCAATCGTTATGATGAGTCTACCAATTGAATAGAGTTTTATTATAAACAATTGTCTTGTAAATGGAATTTTTAAAGCATTCTGAATATAAAAATAAAGAAAAAAGTGTGCAAAACAATAAGAAACACTAATTGCCAAAAAAAAGTGAAGTTTTGTTGAAATTGGTTGAAAAATGTAGGAAATCCGATCCCATATATAAACGAACACACACACACACACACACACAAACAACCTGGGTTTTATAATAAGTATAACTCGATATGAGTTGTCTCCCTTTCATTCTGGCAACAGTGATGCTTCTTAATCGTGTTTTCAAATTGATTTCATGCAAAAACAATTGTGCTTTTCCAATTTTTGGCGCTGTCAGAACCACCACAAAGTAATTTTACGTAGTCCTGTGAAGTTTTGTTGAAATCAGTTGAAAAATGTAGGAAATCCGATCCAATATATAAACGAACAGACACACACAACATGGGTTTTATAATAAGTATGATTTAGGGAACTTGGATCTATAATAGATGTCCACATGAACCGTAGGGTAGTTGAATATCTAAATGACAAATTAAGATTTAGATAATGAAATAACAAGCCCATATAGAAAAACCAATAATACTCTATAATATAGAATAATGTTAGATAAATTGGTCAATAGTTTGTATTTTATATCTTTGGGTATATGATTAATAATGTTTATTGGATGGTCAGCCTGCATATCTTTATAATATATATGCAGTCTAACCATCCAGTTAGTATTATTAATCATATACATAAAGGTATAAAATACAAACAATTGACCAATTTATCTAACATTATTCTATATTATTTGACCAATTTATCTAACATTATTCTATATATTATTTGATAAAGTGAAGGACAATTATGAAAAAGCATTGAACTCAGAAGGACATAAAAATTTGAAATTCCAAAATATAGGACGAATGATTATATAATTCACATTACCGTTCAACTTTGTTAAAACAAAAATTGGTGAGGAATTCTTTAAATTCTTAAAAACCATTTCCAACAAGAAACTATTATACAATATTTTCAGTAAAAATACTGTAAAACCAAGTTTTAGTGCTATCCCTACTGTAGATAAAGAGGTAAAAAAAAAATATCACATAACTAGAAAACAAAATGCAATTATAAATACTAATTTATGTCCCCTGAATGGTGCCTATCCAAACTGATAAGCAACTGTGTAATTTAAAGGACAAGGAGAGATGATATTGGGTCTATATAAGGACCAATTTATACAATGATTTTATAATTAGAAGATATCCTTTGAAGTACAGAAATATAAAAATAGTTTGTTCTTATTGAAAGATATATATGGGACATCAAAGGAAGCAGAAACAAATCCCCACCAACTTAGTTGAATAGAAAATTCTAAAAAAAAAAAAAAAAAAAAAAAAAAAAAAAAGCCAGTAGTTACAAAACAATCTAAAAATCTAAATGTTACAATCTTTGCCAAAAAAAAAGCTACTCATTGCTTTGTCTGGTGACTGAGAAGTATTATTTAATAAAAGAACTGAAATCATGGTAAAATGCAGGCATGCACATAATCCCAATACAACTCTTGATGAAAATGAGGAACTTTTGTAATTCCATATAGGTGTACATACTCTAATTGTATACATCCTTCTGTGACAGTGTGTGTGTGTGTGTGTGTGTGTGTGTGTGTGTGTGTGGGGGGGATACAAATTTTAAAGGGAAATAAATGTGGGATCCAAGGGAAATAAATTATACTAACAAATAGCAAAACGTGTTACCTGCCAGTTTTAAAATGCAATTTTATATACTGTTCTCCTCTCAAAAATTGTACAATTCAAAGTTATAAAATCAATGTGGTTAAAATAAATAAAAACAAAGAAAAAAACTATAAAAAAAAAAAATAAAAAAAAGGTTATGAAGACTCACTTTGATAGCTGAAGCAGCACAGAAACTAATCATACCACACACTTCACGAGGAGCCTAAAAGGAAAGAAAAGTATAGTGATTATTTTAAGAACAATGTAACCAAGCAGTTCATTTACTGCAACCTAAGACCTTAGTATGAATGGTAAGTATTTTTTTTTTTAATTTCTGGTATGAAAATGATAATTTCAGCAATTCAAAATTTAAGGTTTCAGTTGAGAGTGGTTAAAAATTTAATCTAGAATTTCAAGTTTTTTTACTTCAATTTAGGAGGGATCTTGGGAAAGTAAATTAACTGGTCCCACAAGTAAAGATTAGTAATAATATCAGATTTAATAAACAGAAAAACAGGCTTTAATATCAGAGAGTTCATAAAGGAGGAATTTTCCACCCTGTAATACAAAAAAAAATATATCAAAGGAAAAGTTTTTAAGTTTAATACTCACTATACCATTTTTTAAAGCTTTGTAGACAGTATCTCCAAACTGTTTAACACCAGGTTCACACTATTGGATAGAAAGAAAGAAAAAAAATGAAAGAATGGTCAAATTTTGTAAACACTGAAAAGCAAAAAAAACTTCATCTTTATTATTTGAAATTTGCATGTTTCAATATTAAATCATGCTTTTTCCCTATGCTTTTGATCTTTCAGTGTTTCTAAAGAGTCAATTTAAGATTTGAGGATGAGAAGAATTTGAAGTTATTTTCTATTGAGTAGATCCTTTTGGAACAACTTTTCACAAGCTTCTTTAATTTCTAGTAATTCCTAATAATGTACTAATTTAACAGGATAAATAAACAACTATGAAAATTTCAAAAATGACAAATCCAATTCAAGATATTTCATAGGCTTAAGTCTAAAAATTTACTTCAATTGGGACATTGTCAAAAGAAAATAACTCATTGTTTGTATACAGTTAAGAGAACTTGTTTACTGAATTTTTTTTCCAAGATACTTTTACATCCAAAATACCTAAGCATACATATTAATCAATATTTTTTTAAGGTTTTGTCAAAGCAGTTGAAAATTTGCTGAAAAAGTACATTTATTTTCAAATATATGACCATTTTATGATAGATAATACAACTCTAACAAAGACAATCTAGTCAAAGTCCAGCATGTAAAAAAATAATAGTTATCAAACCAAAACATCTTCAACTAAATTGGTTTAGAAAGATACAATGAGAAACTGATTTGTGAAATAAAGGTCAAAGTGGAGAGTTTAAAACTTACTACATCTTTATATTGTTCTGCATATTTGTAACACAAATTTAGCAGCATTTCTTCAAAGTCATTCTTAGTTAAGTTTGGGTTGGCAGCAAGATGACCGGAAGCAATTCCAAGTATTTCTGAACAATAGGAACAGCTAGTTAAATCAGGTACAGATACACCTGGAAAGTATTAAAAAGAAAAGTAAAACATTTGGGAACTATTATTCAGTATGTTTGTCATTATGATCATTAGACTGCAAATAAGACCAATTAATGAATTGTAGATATTCTGGAAATTCAGTTAAGTATAAATTATTTTCTTGTTCACAGTACATCTTTCATCTTCACTCTCTATTGCCCACAGAATGATACAATTGTAATGCTCAACAAAATAGCTGAGAAGTTTGATATTCTCTGAGGATCTTTCAGCTAGCATTCATATTTGTTGTGACTTTAATATCTATCACAAAGAGAGGTATGTCTACTCAAGCAAAACTGACGAAGTAGGCAGATACTGCAAGAACTTCTTCAATGCTTGCAAACTGTCAGATCATTAATAAGCTCATTTGTATTGCAGATACGAGAAATCACACAAATCTTATAGACGAGAGGTTTATAAAATTTGTAATGTCCCTCCCATTCTGCTGATAAATGCTAAAAGCAACAAAAATAACCCCTACTTCAGTTGTTCTTTGGCCTTGTATAGGCCAAACATTAGTATATAAATAAAAAATGGAAAGCAATCTCATTATTTAAGGTCTTAGTTTAAATATACTTTTATAAAAAAAGGTTTAAATTGTTTAAATTAAAAAACTTTGAAATTAACTGAAATATACTGCAATTCTTAATGCTTTAGTCATTTTCCATGAAAAAAATTAAAAAGATTCAACAACTCCCTTCCAGATATTTAACTTAATTATAAACTTTACATTGGAAGCAGTAGCAACAATAGATAATTACATTTGATTCAACTGGAATTACATTAAAAATTCACTGTTGTAAGGTTTTTTCTATCAACCTTATAATTTAAAAAGTATTTTACAAATCAGACAAGGCAGTTAGCTTTTGGAATACAAAGTCCTTCTGTCCAATCTAACCATCTGTAAAATAAACACCACTAATCTAGTGGATTAGTCAAATAAGATCTTAAACAAATGATACCTATCATTTTGTATGAAGAGAACTCAAATACAAAAATGTCTTCAAAATTAAAGATACAATAGATTTTCAAATGATTGCTAAAACAAATTTACATGAAAGCAGAAAAGAAGGGAACTCACTTTGACAAAGATCAAGTGCTGTGCACACCATTTTGGGTTTAATTTGTGACAAGATCAAGTCAATGATGCCGTCTGTGTATTGATTCACAAATTGAGTACACTGATCAGACATAGAACTGGGTAAGATGCTGCACACTTTATCCAAGGCTTTCTTAATATCTTCCTGAAAAAGGAAAATGAACAAAATGTGTAATAAAAGAAAAAAAAATCATGTTTCTTTTCAAATGGCAAGATTTACAGTGTGTAAATTACACTATTAAGGTAGTTGCTGAAAACATGGATGACTAGAAGTCAAAATGTCAAAGATGGGAGTATAGGATAAGAATATTTTTTATTTATATTTTTTTCCATTTTGTTACACCACCCAGGTCATACTTAAATAATAAATTGTCCAGACTTATTTCAATCCACACGGCTTATCATAAAATGACAATCTGAAGTTATAAAAAACAATAGAAAGAAGGTACTAGTCAAAAACTAATAACCAACAATGCTTTATCCTTAAAATTTAAATATAAAGATTCTTAATCTTAAACTGATTATCCAAAGAGTTTATTTCTATAGTAAGTTATTTTCTGCCCTAGTTTCTAGGTTCAAATATTACTGCTACTTCTTTCGATTGTTAAAAATTTTGCCATACTTTTTATTTTTTGGCTATTTTAGATGAGTAAGGATTTTAATCAGTTCTTGCAAGTCTTAGGTTTTATTCTAACATTTTTTCATATTTTGAAGATTTAGGAAGTTGGGGGGGGTACCAAATTAAAAAAAAAAAATTTTATTTTTTTATTTTTTTAAATCTTCAAAATGTGAAAAAAATAGAACAAGATCCAATAAGACTTGCATTTATTTATGATCGAGACAATAGTAGTAAATACACTGGCTCAGCCAATACTTTTATCTGTATGTGCAAATAAAACATCCAAATTAAGCAAAACAAAATCTATGTGATTTTGAGCATAAAAAGCAATAATTTTTGACCTTACTTGAATAGTAGTATCTTTGAGTATTTTTTCTAGTTCCTCCATAACCATCTCACAGAGTTTGCATTGCTCACTCTCAGAAGTTTTTTTGTCAGTCTTAGATGGTAGCACAAGTCCAACTCTCTGGTAAGTACTAAAGGCAGCAACTGGAGTCAACAGGCTAAGAGGAACAGTATTGGTGATAGAAGATTTAGCCACAGTCTTGGATTCAGAAGAATTGGAACACATACCAAGCATATTACAACTGTTATTAGGTTCCTGAAAGAGAAAAGAACATTTTCAAAATTATTTCATAAAGATAATAAAGAAATATTATTTTATACTGACAGATTAAAGCACAGTTCATTAACAAATTTGATTCCAGCTACTAATAACTATGAATAAAACTAAAATGATTAAAAAGAAAAACCTTGTTTTTAGCTAAAAATTTCTCTTCATGTTTTAATTTACTTTAAAATTTATTTTAGAAAATTTAAATATCAAATAATTTTGGTTAAACAAAAAAATTCAGAAACAATTCAAGAATAAAAATTGTTTTCATTAGTTTTTTTTATGACCAACCTGAATCAAGCTGTTTTCTATTCACCCACAAAAAAATTTTTCATTATATAAAAGGTAAATTGTAAGTTTTCCCCAAAATGTAAAAGATAGCCCAAGACACTTTTTTTTTTTTTAAAACCAGCCTTCATTTTTATACTTAAGTTTGTAATAGATTACATTCAGGGTTGTGAAATAAAAGTAAGACTAACTTCCTAATTTAGATTACTTATGATATTTGTACTTGTGTTCTTAAAAAGGCATGAAACTCTTTACCTTATCAGATATGTTAACAGAAGTTTTTATCACTGGCATATCACAAAGGTAAACAAAAAAGATTTATTGAATGAATAAGTAATCCACTCCAAAAGTCTTATGATCTTATACCTGTGCTGCTATAAAGTTTCAACAAATACAGACTAGTTACATTCATGTACATGAAATATGTACAATTTTTGGTATTTCTTAATCTGTTTTTTCCAATCCTCAGAAAATAATTTTTATTTTTAATACTTTGTAGTGTAGTCTCACAAGTGCAAGGATATTTCAGAGAGAGAAAAATTTACTAACTATAACATCAACAGAAGCAGCATCATACTTGCTCCCTACCTTTGCTTAGAACAGATGAAAAGTATCTGTTAAGTTTTATTTTCAATCAATAAAAGTGGAAAAATAATGAAAGGAAACTAAAATAATTTAGTCATAATAAAATGAAGTCAATTCCAGATGCTAAAACAAAAAGGAAAAACATGGTAGGAAATGTAAGGCCAAACTCAAAGCATTAGGCAGTTGATAAAGATAAGTCTTTAACAAAATTGATAAAATTTAATAGCACTTACCAAAAGACTTTGGATGGCCTTCATGATAAGAGGTCCATATTCCTGGACCAGAGTCAAACACTAAAACAAAAATTCAAAACAATAAATATAAAATCCAAGTTTTTCACAGAATAAATTATAAGAGTAATTAATATATACACCAAATAATGACAACTTACTGCTGACTTCATGTTGTCAAGTTTTACACAGATTTCATTGTCAAGGAAGTCTACCACAGCCTTCTGTTTATAAAAAAAACAAAAAAAACACACCAATAAATTTGCAAATCATCAATGAATGTAGCAAAAATTGAAAATATTCACAGCTGAATGGTGCAGTTCCTCCACAGGAAACTGCTAAATCATTATTGACCATCACTTTAATTTTCTATATGAATGGCATTATTTCAACCTACACTGAATAGAAGCAAAGCAGAAGTGGGTTTACCTGAACATTCTTGTCTTCAATAAGGGAATGCAGTTTAGACATCAAAACTTTGCAGAGTTCACATTCAGTAGATTCCTGAAATGGCTAGAGACAAAAAAAATTAAAAATAATTTTCTAAATATAATATTCATAGACTGTGCTCTCATCCTGATATAGATTGATGAAATGAAAAAGGACTTGTCAGTGGATTTGAAATGCCTTTTTCATCTCTCATATCTATCTAGTACAGACAAAGCAGAATATTGCTTAGTGATTAAGCGTGCAAACAAAAACCAAATTATTTCAATTGAGTATACACTTCCAAGTGAAAATGGTACCTTTTTGTTTAGTAAACTTAGCTGGTTGAATTTACTCAATGATAACCAGGGAGAACAACTAGGATATTTCTACTTTAGCAGACAACTATTCAAATTCATCCCCAATAGAAGCTTCAGATTATAAAAAAGTGCTGAAAACATTTAACTACCTAATATAACAGGTTTTTGTATATATATATATATATATATATATATGTATAATATTTGAATCTAAACATTTTTCTTTAAAGATGTGAATGAAAGAGTATAAAGATTTTAGAATTTCTGATTTATAAAAAGGTTCATTTGAAACGAATTCCTGTTATATTGTGAAAAATGAAAAAAATTTTGTTCCATATTTAGGGAAATTAGAAAAATGGCCCAAAATGATGTCAATAGTAATTCTGAAAATTGGTGAGAAATTCACAAACTATTGTGCATGTTCCTTTCAGAATATCAGACTGCAGGTGATCACTTCTAATTTTAGACCTTAGCATTCCTCAATGATACATAAAGAGACGTTCTTTAATTTTATATATAATATTAGTGCAACAAAAATTATTTAAGAGCATATGTAGTTGACCAACTACATATGCTCTAGTATATGAAAGAACAAAGCGAATTAAATTTTATAAAATCACTACAAAGAACATAACCCTTTAAGGAGAAAATATTTTGAAAATATATTCATCACATTACTACCAACTATAAACCCCTGTCTTAAAATATTACATCATATCACCATTTTTAATAGAGTTTTTTGGGTTACCTCTTAGAACTTGTAAATCTTTAAATGAACTGTGCTTCTTATGTTTACATGAAATATTACAAATAATCAAATTTGCTGACAAAAAATCTATTAAAACAAAGGAGTGAATTAACTGTAAATTTCCAACACAGTTTACCTTAAAATATAGTTAAATTTTTAAAAAAAAATTACATATTACCATTTCTTATAGCCATAATTTATTAGTATATAATGGTTCCCCCTCTACAGGTAATTACCTTATTTTGTTTATTAAGCTCGGAATGCTTCAATCAGAGCCACTGAGTGAAGATCAACGTAGCCATCGGCTTTCCAGAAACACACACCTGAACGCTTTTACACGGAAGGCTGAAAATAATGATCAAAGGACTCAACAGCTGAGGAGAAAGGCCTCTTCAACTGCTGCTGTGTGTGAAGCTGAAACAAGACTGAGAAAGCAAAAACGGCCCTTTTTGGGCCCCCCTTCAAATTGTTAACCCCCTCCTCCCATTTAGGGATGTACCTCAGTTGCACCCAATTGTTGTTACTAATATTGATTTTCGAGTGGGCTAGCTTTAAACTTAAACTGCTCCAACTGAATGGCAAAAATTTCCAGTAATGAAAGACCCAGTCAAAGTAAATACAAATTACTTTAAAGTAGTTTGTAACACGTTTATTTATCATCTCTCAGTTGCATCTGTCTTTGGGCAGAGTGTGCTCAGGGGCAGCTCTGTCGAAGGATAGAGTCACTAAATACCAAATTACTATAAAGTAGGTTTTTAATCTCAGAATTTGTGGGAAAATTAAGCTCCAATTTTGCATTTATCCATATAGATTCCATAATACAGGTTTTACTTAATTAGCTATTATGTTTCTCTAACTCATCAAATGCTGAATGTAAAACTAATTCTAATTTCTATTTTCCCATCTTTACATTATATTAATATTATCTTATAAATTGTCCCGTTGTCACTGACAAAAAAATTGTTTTTATGGAAAATAAGGATCTATGTACATCAAATCTTTAAATTAAGTGGCAGCAAAAGAATTATCGTTGAACTTTTTAAAAGTAAGTTTAAGCATTAATCCAATATTTAAATGCAGTGATCAATTTTGAGTTCTGCAGTTTATTTATGCCTATCACATCTACTTTTCTCTAGCTATTGTGATAATGGCCAAATCAAGTCTTCCACCAGAGCTAGCTTAATTGCCGCCCGATAGGGCAGCTTTTAAGCTAGCTGCTATTTTGGATACAAAAGGAAAATAAGAATTACTCCCCTTGAACCATGAAAGCAATGATAATGGCTAGTATAATATATTAATATATATTTTTAACCTCTCATAATCTGGCAACTCTGAATCTGAGCTTAATGAAAATCATTCCCTGTGTCTAATGTTTGTAGGGCTATGAGCTATGAATCACTGAAATCAGACCAGTGGGAATGGAGGAGTTGCTTGGACACACGCATGCACAAACACTGTACTTTATATGTAAGATAATCACTACAATTATATATATATATATATATATATATATATATATATATATATGTGTGTGTGTGTAGATATGTAGAAAAATAGCAAAGAACATAATCTGGAGTTCTTTAGTATTTTTGTTTTTATTTTTAAAAAAAGTGCTCCATACAGAAGTAGAGCTTAAATTATAATTATTTTTTAAAAAATATGATTCCTTCACTACATAAGAGTTCACATGTTTCAAAAACGAGAGCTGAAAATCTCAATATAATTATTAGAATTAAATTGAGTTAAAGTATCAAGCCCTGTTTCATCCTCAAGTGAAAATTTAGGAATAACCCATCTTGAAATTTATGCATATTTATAAGCATGTTCAATTGCAAAATTAATTACTATGGAAATGACTGGGGCAACCATTTTGGTAAGGGGTCTAAGAGATAATTTTTATCCACATATCAGTCACCTTTGAAAAGAGGTCAGGCTGAGGTAGGGTGGGGACACCCATTTCAAAGTAAATGATGACATTCATGTGCGTACACCGTCTGGTCAGTCACAGCGAAAGATTACTTTTGGCACCATAATGTCGTTAAGAAATTTTTTTTTATTTTATTTATTTATCCTTTTATTTATTTATTTTTTTTTTTCCTAACAGGCTGTTTCGTACTTAAACGCATCGCACTGAACTACAATTTGTTTTTGTGCCGACTTCATAAAGGGTTTTTCTATCTTGTGATTGGGTTAAGGTTTTAAACCTTTTATTAGACTATGAAATTTAATTTTTTTTTATGCTAATTATTTAATGCGAAAATTTGTTGATGTCGGCAGAAAAACGTTAATTCAGGTCTATGGTTTAATAAATTTTCGTTATTTAGAAACTTAATGTGTAGTTTTTCATGTAGGCATAAAGGGCATGGGTCATCCCAGGTTTTACAAGTTCTTGTTCTATTTATTATTTTCCATCTTACTTTTGGTGTTTTATTCATTTCTTTTAAATGCCAAAAATATTTGGATAGAGATGTCCGATTTGTATTTCTAATATTATTGGAGGAGCTTTTGTGTTGTCTATCTAATTTTAAATTCATTCTTCGTTGAACCAATGTATATTCTATCAGTGTTAGGACTCAATGTCTAATATACTGCAATCCTGGGAAGAGGGGGAACAATAAAAGAATAAGTGATAGCTAATGGAGTTTGCTAATGAAAGATGGAAGCATATGAAGGAGTAGTCATAGGCCTGAAGAAACAATTCCTTGGTCATCAGAAGATTATCCCAGATATAAACACCAAGGCAATGTATGTGAATGCTGAAATCTTTTTGGCAAAGAAGAAGATAGCCTGGATGATTTTTTGTTTACTGGTTTTTATATATATATATATATATATATATATATATATATATATATATATATATATATGTATGTATGTATACATACAGTCAGCATCTTTACATACATACAATTGACATTAATTCAGCCTTTACAATTAATTACACACAAGTGCAAGACCAGTTTAATCAATTTACCATGGTAAATAACAAGCTAATTTGCATATTCTTCGTAAAGGAACTTTTTTCCTGATTGAGCACCAGTTGGCAAGTGATAGAAAATATCTTTTTAAAACTAGCCTATAAATTACAATTTGTTAGACTCTTAAATTACATGGATAGGAAGAAATATTCAAATCTTACATTGGATCTGGAGAATTTGATGCTTTTCAAATGAACAATTAATGCATTCATAACATAGCCATTACACAGATGAAGCCTCCGACAAATCATTGATGAATCCTAAAAATCAGAGAAACAAAATTTGTCAAATCAATTCAAGGAAATAGAGCAAGATGAAAAATTTTAACAGTACAAAAATAGCAAGCATTATTTGTTATTAAAAGCTGAATTCAGGAGCAAAAATAAAATGTATTATGTATAAGCTGCTAAGACTGATAGAAATATCAGCTATTTTGTTTCTACTGTGGAGAGTGAATTATCTCTGTACTCAAACATTCTAAACAAGGTATGACAGTAACAATATCATTAATATATGACGGGCAGCTAGTATTGCACATACATACAGAAATATCAATAAATAACGGTAACTGAAATTATAACTTAATTCAATTTTTCAAGCTTTTTGATCTAGATTCCTTGTAAGAATTTAAAGACTAATTTAAAAATTGAATACTATCATCTAAATCCTTGTACCTGTTTTTCACCGATATCTCCATTAAAAAAAATTATTTTAGTGAAAGTTGCTCCTCATTATTTGAATAAAAAAAAAAAAAAAAAAAAAAGGCATCATAAAGTTTTCAATACTCACAACATTATTCAAAATGTCATTTAGGATTTCTTTAGCATAGGTCTCCACAGCTATGTCACACTAAAAATAAAATCATCTTATTAGTGAAGTTAGTAACTAAGTTTAAAATTTTCAATCTATTACTAAGTTTTTCAGAGACTACACTCAAAATCCCTGAATTTAAAATATATGAAAGTGCATGTATATACACATATATATATATACACACACACACACACACACACACACACACTTTACATATATTTATGTGTGTGTGTGTGTGTGTGTGTGTAATATATATATTATTTACATATTATATGCTCAGTACTTACTGGAAATTTCTCAATATCAGAGATAGAGCTAACATATTTAGTTGGATTGATGTGAGTGTGACCCTGGGTTTCATGCTTTTGCAATCATCAGACAAACTGATTAATTTAAAATATATATTTCCAAAGTGCCATTTTGGAAATAGCATGCAAAAAACTTTACTATTTAATATCAATTGTAAGAATGTTCAAGAAACAAATTCCTTCTATTTTTAAGGTACCAGATATTAACTGATTACTAAATATTACTAGTTATATATAAAAAAAGCCAAAATTATGCTAAAATTGAAAGTAAAATGTTCATAGTATTAGTAGAAATTGTTTTCAGTTGAAAGAAATACTATTTGAAAAATGAAAAAGTTCACTTACAACTGGTTTGTATTCACCAAGATGACTACAAACATCCTTCTCTAAAATGTCCTTTACTTTGTCCTTAAAAAAAAAAAAAAATAAAAAAAAATAAAGAAAGAAAAAGAAAAAAAAATTTAATCATTTTAAGTGTTAAAAAGATTACAGAAAAAATTTTTTCAGTATGAAGAAAATTACAGATTTTTATAAGCAGGTCACTTGTAACAAATTCTTTTACTAGATTAAATTAAGGGTAGGGTTAGGTTGGATAGGTTTTTCTGTGTTTAATGACAATGGTATTATATGTCATGAAAGATTAAATTCATGAAAAAATACCAACATCTAGGTAAAAATTACCTAATCAAACAAGAAAGAATGTTAAAGTTTAATACTTCAATATTTTTGCATAAGTCTCAAATAATACTAGTTTTTTTTTGGTAGGATAAATAATAAAAGCATAAATCAAATGCTAAGTATATTTCTGTATGAATTTCTGAGAAAAATTATATGCTGATTTATTTGAACTGATCTGGTATTCTATCAGGTGCCAAAATTTCCACATGATTGTCCTAGAAGACATAAATGTAAGTTGATTACTTGGCCATGACTTCAATCTCTGGGTCAAGCATTGAAATTGACATAATCTAGTTCAATGAAATAAACAGAAGAGTCAACAAGAGAATAAATTATCCCATTAAATTTGGTATTTGTAGTAAACCATAAAACTATTAAAACAATTTTAACAAATTTAAAATATTAACCAAGAGAGGCCTACTAGCAGAGAGGCAGAATGAGAACAATCTACTCAAAGGTGTTGTATGAGGGCATGACAGTACATTAACCAAAATAACCAAGACAAGGACATTAGTCCAAATATATATATATATATATATATATATATATATAGAAAAGTATTTTTTTTCCAGAATTACCAATACCACAGGTCCACCAGTACAATTTTATAAAATCCAAATGTAGCAAGTGAACAGAGGTTAATATTCAATATACAATAAAAAATAAACATGTAACAACATTCAACTAAAACATTTAGAAAATCATTAGCAGAAACAAGAAATGTTCTGCAATTTTATAATTTACTGAAAATAAATGCCAGGTTATGAAATATTCACTGGCAAGAAAATTAACCACAGATTGTTTGGAGGAGAGGCATGCTTAGGTTTTCTTACACAAAAGATGAAAAAAAAGATTGTTATATATTAATAAACTAGAAATTTCATTACAAGAATAAAATTGATATTTATTTTTTTTTCCTATGCAGCCTAGAGTTAGGGGAAAATATTTTGTGACAGCTGAGAGAATTGAGTGGCAAACCCCCATCAGTGTAAGTAAAATGGGAGTTAATATTTTTTTATAGGATCACAAGACTAAACTGCTAAAAAGGTGGGAGAGAGAGAGGTAAATTGAAAGAGAGATAGACAGTGATAAAGACAGAATTTCAAGAAATATAAATGGTAAACAAGGCCAACATACCACAGAAGTATCAGAATCAATTTCCTTTTTGATGTTCTGTATGAAGATTTTGCAATTAGAACATTGTTCGTCACCAGTAGTCTTTACAGCTGAGTTCTGGAAGAAGTGTTTTATTATTAGATTACAAATTTAAAAATATAAGTACAAATTTCTGCATTCATCATTAAACCATGGTTTGTTAATTTTGTGAGAGATTGAGCTTTTTAGTATGCTTTCTTTTGCAATAGTATTATGTGTGTTAGTGAAATATGTTATATAGTCTTCATTGTCAGTGTTGGCTTCAGTCTATGTTTACATGAGTTTTGAAATTCTATCCCACTGGTTTTCTGGAGGTTCCAAGATGGGGCTTTATCTTCTAGTTTAGGGTTCTGGTTTCCTAATATGATGGGGAAGTGATCACTTCAACATGTATCCTGATGGCTTCTCCAAGTGTAGTCTATGTATATATGGCTGGGTCACATATTGTTAGGTCTATGTTTGAATATGTACCTCTTGCTGGATGTAGGCATGTGTATGAAACAGACATAATTGTTTCTGGTTTATTAGTGTTTCTATGGTTTTGCCTTTTTTATTTGTTTCTTTATTACCCCATAATTCATTGTGGCTGTTGAAGTCTCCCATCAGGATAAATGGTTTAAGTAGTTGTTTATTTCTATTTCATCAATGGTTTCACTAGATGGTATATATATATTTAGCAAATAGTGATGGTTCTGTGTAAAGTCGCAGAGATTGCAACTGCTTGTATATTTGTTTTTAAATTTATTTCAATGTGAAGGATGTTATTGTTGATAGATATTGATGACCCACCTGAGGCTCTATATTGGCTTGTTTATTTATATGGTTGTATGACATATAGTATTTAAGGTTTAAGGTGAGTTTCTTTGAGGCATAATATTGCTGGATTGTATGTTGTAACAAGGAGTTGTATTTCATTGAAATTAATTTTTGCAACTCATGTTCCACAACAATATTCTATTTGACATGATTTATTTTGCGGTGTGCTAAGTATCCATGCTTTCTATGCTCTCAGTTTTGTCTGCAACTTTATCCTTCTGTTTTGTGCCTCAAGTGATTTTTTTGTTTCTGTTTGTCTGGCTTTTCGTTAGGTTCTTTTGGTGGTCTTTTGATGTTGATTGTTCTCTTGGTCTAGGTGGGTTAAAGTTTTGTTGCTCTACTTTCATTTCTCCTGTTTTTGCAGGGTAATCCCTCTCAGAAGTGAGGTATTACTTTTTGTGTGGGCCTTTCATGATTTTTTGGAATCTACTAGTTCTTTTTTGGATTTTGGTTTTAAGTTTTTCAAAGTTGTTTTTCTGGTAGTTACAGGTTCTTTTTTTGTTTGAGGTTGAAGTGGTAGGACTTCTTCCAATGGAGGGCAATGAGTTCATGCATGTTAAGCTTGTCCTCAGCAACTCTATTAGGTTTTTTTTTTTTTTTTTAATTCATTTATAAAAAGGATGTGACCTCTTCCTGCTTTCCCACTGAATGATTCTCCTGTATTTCCCTTGGTGGGGAGTCCTCATCCTGCAAACATGCATATGATTTTGGTAGCATGAAGGCTTCTATACATTTTCTTGCTTCTTTGAAGGAGATGTTTTCAGTATATTTAATTTTTGTTTTTCCTTCTTCCAGATTTTCCATCCTTTAGTATGTGGGGTGTGATTTTGCTTGTAGTTTGAATACAAAGGGGTTTTGCAGATATAACTTATGGATTGGTCCTCTGTTGATTCTATGATGATGAAAGTGGGGGATTTTTTTTGTTTCTGGTTTTCCATCTTCACTCTCAGTTTGAGCTTTCATAGCCTCTCTTGGTTCTTTTATAAATTTTGGCTATGAAATTATTAATTTTTTGTTTCACCATCTGTGCTCCCCTTTCCACCTCAGAGTTCTTTTTTAAGGGATGCTATTTCATTCACTCTGATCTGTCAGGGCTGCACTGACAGCATAGTTGGGCCAGAAGTGGCCATGAGCACCCACATTCCCTCACCATCATTACCCAAGTATTCTCTTTCAACTAGCCCTTGCCACTATGTGACTAGCCAATTGGTTGGGCTATTCCATCTGCCCAACTAGTTCCGGTTGGGACCGAAGTGGGGTGTTTTGGGATTTCTAGCCACTTGCAAATCAAGGGTAACTCAGCCACCTGGACTCCATCCTAGGGCATCATAAGTTGCCACCCACGACAAACAGGTAGCCCCATGGGTGAGTTGATAGTGTTTGGTTGCTTTGGATCCATTTGGAGTGTCACTAATTAAATGATTTTGGAAACTACAGTTGTTATTAAATTTTTAGGAGGTTTGTGTCTTGTGCAGTTTAATATCACACCCAGGTCAGTTGTTTCAATTTTGTAAGTGGATAGTTTGTTATCCGAGTGTCTGAATAATCTTGTTTTGTGGTCATATGATTTGTTAGCATTAAATTTTATAGTCTATTTATTTACAGGATATATTTTTGGGGGTGTATAGTTGTTTGTATAGTATATAGTTTGTAGACAATTCTGCTTCATAGATGTTTGCTTAGTAAGCAATCTTGTTTCATAGACATATGTTTTGTAGATACAAATTCTATTTAATCCATAGTTAGAACCCTGACAGGTACCACCACTCCAGGTCAGAATGGACCTGGGAGCAATAGCAACTAAGGGGTGGCTTCACACTCCCTAAAGCTTCTAATTGGGATCCTCACCACTAGATTCAGTTTCAAGTCATACCCAGGACTATAGTGAGTTTGAAAAACAACCATAAAAGCCACATTAACACAGTTGAAATTAATAGATGTTTGATGCTTCGTATAAACACAAAATTTTAGAGCAATTACAATTGAGTATAATGTCTTTAGATGCATGTGTAGTATTTCTGCAACAATTAGAATTAATTGATAAATTTGATACATTTAAGAGCAATGCTGAAGTATACAGCATATTGAATTATATGATGCAAGTACCGCAATAAAGAGCATGAACAGGACAAGAAAAAATGTCCAGTTTAAGACAAATATGCTGGAAGATCATTCCCAGTCAATTTGCAAATATAAAATGAAAATAAAACGGGTGGAAAATTTACCACACTCTGGAAAATACAGATGTATATATGATACAAACACTTAAAGGGAAAAATGCCATAGATGAAAATAAATTAAATGGTATAATTTTTACTATGCAAGTAGATACTGGGTATGATGTCACCTTAATCCAAATCCCGGGAATGAATGGGCAAACCCAAATTAAAGAAAAGTTAACTGAAACTAAGATACTTTGATGGCTCTTTCATAAAAAACATTAAGTTGTTTTGAAGGAACTTTTGAGACCAAAAACTACTTTGAAATTATTCCCATTACGGTAGTGAAATGCCAAAAAGGTCATGGATTCATGGGAATAAAGGTCATAAAAGTTGATACAAAATTAATCAACAGTGTAAAGTCATAAAAATTTGACATAGGATTGTTAAAAGGGTACAAAATGAGCATTCAAGTAAAATAGTTACCCCCTCTTAATTCTGCCCATTCACATTCTACCTTTAGCAGTTGCTAAAATCAATGGTGGAGCAAAGAATTTTAAGGATATGTGGAAATTACAAAACCACAAAATATGTCCCAATCCATTCCCTATTCCTAACATTGAAACTGCTATTCACACATTGTCAAGAATCACATACTTTGTCAAAATTGACCACAAATCCACCTATAACCAGATACCAATTGATAAAAAATTTAAAGTTCTGATTAACTCTTTGATAGATTTACTCAGAATTATATGCCTTATGGTGTAAAAACAGCAAGTGCTATTTTTCAAAGAGCAATTGAAAATGTACTAACTGGTGATGTTAAGAATATGATCATTTATCAAGATTATCTATGCATCATGTTTATGTTTTAAACAAATTAAAAAAATGCTGGGATGACCATAAACAAAGAGAAATGTGTATTAAGCTGAGACAATAGCATATCTGAAATACCAGCTATCTAAAGATGGAATTTCAACAAACACAAATTTGATAAAGAAAATATTGGAGGTATCTACACAGACAAATAAAAAAAGAATTGGCATCTTTTTTAAGGTCAGCCAATATTTATAGCAGATATTTGCCAAAATATAGTGAATTAACAGAACCCAGTTATATAAAAAGAATAGTGAATTTAAATGGATTCAATGTCAGAATATTGCATTTGAAAATTTAAAAGAACTTATAAAAAAAACTATCATAAAAATTTTTTTTACCCTAAAAAGGAAGTAACTACAGACAAGTGAGTGTGTCATAGTGATTTTGAAGGCCACTCTAATGTACCTTTCTAGAAGATTAATGTCAGCTGAAGCTAACAATTCAAACATTGAAAAAAGTGTTAGCTATTGTATGGAGCATATATATAGCTTTCCAATTTTTATTAGGCAGAAAGTTTCCATTGAAATCTGACTATAAACTTTTAAAGTTTATTTTAAACCCTAGAAAGCAGTTACCTGAAGTCAAATCATCTAGAATTTTAAGATGGGCCATAAAACTCATGGCCTTTGACTGTGGCATCAAATGTGAAAAGAAACACTATTCCATATGTTGAAGCTCTAGCAAGACTAAAATTCAACAATGTATGATTAAGATAGATCAGACAATTCAGGAGATAAAATATTGCACTGGATTGAAACTAAATCCTCTTCATTTGAAAACTTACAGGATCCAGTATTAAGCAAGATTGCATATAAAATAAAAAGAAACAAATGGAGTGATTGTTCTTGGGCATAGGGACCCTATAAAGGGTGCCAAAAATGTTTTTCTCTGACAATGCACCAGAATTTTGTGATGAAACTGTATATGTGATTAAAACAAATTGGACATCTCCTTTATAAAACACCACCATACTACATGTAATCGAATGGAAATGCAGGAAAGAATGGTGCAGATGGTGAAAACAAGGTCGAAGGCATTTTCCCTATCCAGAGACACCCTAGATAACTAGTAAGACTATTACTTAGTTATAGAACCATTCCATATGCAGATAGAGTGCAAAGTCTTTCTGTATTGATGGAAAGACAAATTAGATTTATTACAATGTCCTATTCAACAAATAAAAACATGTGGTACAAAAAAGACAGAATCAAGTCCCAAAAAAAGCGAACTTTATTGTACAAAAGGGACATAATACAGCTGTAATAACAACAGATAGAATTTACTGGCTCACTCTGATCAAATAAATTTTAGAATTGATGACCAAGTCATTGAGACAGAAGTAAAAACAGAAGAGCAACCTGAAAGGGAGGAAAGGATGAGTGCTTCTGATGGTGAGAGCGAACACAGTAGGAAAGAAATTATGGATAATAGTATCTGACGTGTTTGTAGAAAAGAATGAAGATTTCAGGCCTAGATCGCCAACAAATCGGACCAGGTACACACCGAAACAGAGAGCAAGGGAGATAAGTCCTCATTCTAGTCAAAGATCAACGACAAGCATAAAAACCTCTTCATTTACAGGAGTTGTAATCAGATACCCTATTCCACAAAGACAAACACTTACAAATAAGTCGGTCATCAGAGAGGGAATTACTTCTACGTTACACTGGAAGACAACACAACTGTTGCTTCTTGAGCAGTAACAAGCTTACTTTGTGGTACCAAATGCATATCTAAAAATACAAAGCTTCATAATAGAGCAATGTTGGCATTTTCAAACATGCTAAAAAAATCTAAAGATTTTGTTAAAAGAAAAACTATTAAAATGTTGGCTTGATTGCAATAACAAAAACTAATTTATCCTTTATGCAATAAGTGACTAACTTACCATAGAGTTTTGACTAAGTGCTTCAAATAAAGTTGTTTCCTGAGAAGCAGGACAGAAGTTCAAAACACTGCAGAAGAAGCCAGGATCCTAGAAATTTGAAATTTAAACTTTAATTAAATTAGAGAAGTACAATATGAAAAGAAAGCTTCAAGTGGTACATTTAGAATGTATTGCAGGTCAAATTTTTAATTTAACTATAGTTTCATGACACTACATATAAATATGTTATCTTATGCCAATGTGAATTAATTTAAAAATTTGTTTTTAGTCTTTCAGTGCTTTAGCTAAAAGGTAACTAGAACTGTACAAAAGACACCAAATTAGTTTTTGTTGCCTTTAAGGAATCTGCAGATTTGAGAGATATTATATCACCAGTATTTCTGGTTACCGGTGTTCAAACTGAAATATGAAGCTCTGATTGATAAGACATGTTTATTTTATTTACTATTTTATGCCTGAATTTCTTAAGAAAAAAAAAAACACAAAAAAAACAGGCTTAATGCTGATATAAAAAGAAAATAATGGAAAGCACTCAAAACCAATGAATTCCCTTGTTAGAACTAGGTGCATCATCATTTATTTCTATCAAACACTAGTAGACATAGCAGGTGATAAGTATCAAGTATCACCAACTCTGAGGTGTTGGTGGAAATAGTCACAGTATCAATTCTTTCCAAGTGGATAAAAAAAAAAACCACTCCCATTTAATACTAAGTTATCAATTTATCCTATAACAAAGTCAAATTAAAATTTAAAGTAAAAGGTATACAGTAGTGATAATCAAACTAGACTAGCATATTACTGAAGCAAATTTGATCCTTATTGCATGACTTCATATTTGTAGCCTTGTTCACTACTACACTTAGTTAAAAAAATATATCTAATGAAATTAGATTTTTCTGAAAAAAAAAGTTAAAAGAAACTTCATTACAAACAGCTTGATTTTTATGAAAATTAACTGTTATATCATTGAACAAATGAAGTCTACTACAAACTTCATTTGTTCAATGATGTAACAGTTCTGATTACAAATGTGAAAATATATGACATGAAGCACATGATATACATCATATCAAGAAATTGGTAAGAAATTAAAAATTTTGTTTTCTTTCTAGCACACATGAAAGAAAAGCTAAGTTGTTTTGAAGTTTTAGTTGTCAGAAGTTTACTTTTAATATATCAAAGTTACATACACTTAAGACATATCAAAATTTTAAGGGCATTTACTTTTCTGAAGTACAAAAGTTCTTTAGAAATACAATGGAACAGAATTTGATGAATAGTTTGTAATGTAACAGACACAGACACTTATAAATATAAAGTTAGTTTTTTTTTTCTTATAATGTAGATATTTAAAAACCTATCCAAAACATATGATCCCTAAATGAGTAAACAAATAAAATCTGAATAGAAATGTTTACTTACAATAAATTCACTGACATCTTTTAAGTAAACAGGTACAAAAGCTTCAATAAATTGACGGCACTGAAAAAAATGTAAAAACTAACATAAAACAATTTTCATGATTCTGCTGCTCCAAATTCAGTGGAGATAAGTACCATATTTAATAGCATATAACCCCCCCCCACTCAAAAAAAAAGATTATATACAAAGTTGAGATATCTTGTAGGCAAGACAAAGTAGCCTGCCAATAATTGTATCTAGCCTAGATACAAACTTAGATGAATCTTATGTCATCAAATAGCCTAGTAATTAGCAACATTATTTGTGAAGATTTCTTTAAACATCTTGGCTCTTATACTTGAAAAGACCTGAACCCTGGTAATCAGAATTTAAATCTGAAATGAGATTAATTTTCCTTGAGAGAATGTGTTGAACATTAATCACAACTTCAGACATTTCTCAGAGTAGTAATACATAATTATCCAAAGTTGTGATCCAAAAAAATGATAGCATACAATGGATTCTCACATTTAGAGATGAAAAGCAATATCTGCATGGATGAACCAGAACCAAAGGTTTATCTATGCATCGATAGAATTTGAAAGATAGAGAAAAATAATTTTCATAGCAAGTTTTTTTTTTTAAATCTCCAGAAAATATCAAGAGGCAAAAACTAGTCAATTTTTTGTAACTTCTTGCAAGTAATGTTTTATTAAATTGATAACATAATTTTTATATAAGTCAAATACTGACATGAAAAAAAATCTTGTGACTAATCTTATGCAAATGTTTTAGCATTTTTTCTTTCCACAAAAATGTGTTAATTTTAAGGAACAATTTTTTTTGTTTTAAGGGACAAAGCTATTTTTTATGACTTACAATTTCTCTGAGAGGTCCAAGAGAAACACAAATGGTGTTATCAAAGAGATTTTCCACATTTTTCTGCAAACAGAAGAGAAAACTCAGTTAAAGATTTAAAATATTTTTTTCTGTCTTATAACATTTACAGTTATGTAATGCTCATTTGTAGAAGAGACTTTGTAAATCACAAATACAACAATAGTAACACCTTTAAACAATACTTGGTCAGACACTGCTAATTCCCACATATATATTTTTTGTTTACCCATCACGTGATCTAATTATTTTGAGATGAGGTCAACTGTGCTTGCTCTCTGGCAATCCTTGTTTCAACCAAAGTGTTGGCGGTGACACTTTATTCCTATATGACACCTCTCCTTTGAGATGGCTTCCTCTGTAGTTTATATTTCTTCAGTTCAACATTTAGAAATTCTGTTGCTATTCTTTTTCTCTTACCTTAAAACCTTGGTTCAACCTATTTCTGATGGTGTGGGTACATCAAAGTGTCACAAAATTTCCATAGATACCTCTTTTTGGAGACTTTAAAATCAGTGAATCTGCATCTGATTAAGGTGTCACTTATGTTCCCACTTTTGTCTCTGTACCATGTATGTCATTTTGCCAATCTGTTTTTTTTATAATGCCATCCTCCCAGAATCCTTTTCCATGTTGATCCGCTTGTCCATTTGATCTTGGGTGATAAGGGGGAGATGTAATATGTCCAATTGCTAATGATTTACAAAAGATCTTAAATTTACTAGACGTGAATTGTGCCCCATTGTCTGAAATGATAGAGTCAGGAACACCAAACCTTGCAAAAATCTTGTGTAGGAAATTTATTGTTACCATGGTAGTTGGTCTTCTACATTTTAATATTTCTGGCCATTTAGTGTAACTATCGGCTACCACTAGATAGTATGCTCTGTTTAATGGTCATGTGAAGCCTATATGTATTCTGGACCATGGCATATCAGTTTTCAGCCAAGGTTGAATTTTGATAGGCAGCAAATTTGCTGCCAGAGCACAATTTCTGCATGATTTCGCCAAATTTTCAATATCTTGATCCATTTTTGGCCAAAATTAAGGATTTCATTTTAGAAATTCCTGGATGTCCTATGTGAAATTCTTTTAGCATACATTTTTGCAATGATGCTGGTATAACAATTCTTTCTGCATACATAAGTACATCATTACATAATGAAAATGCATTATTACCAGTTATATTTCTTCCTTTAAGTCTTAATTGCTTCTTTATTTTCAATATAAAGTCGTCTTTTTCTGACTTAATTCTTATTTCCTCCAATGTTATGGGCGCTTCTCTTACAGTATATTATAATACATTACTAATTTCATTTTTGGCCTTTATCGTTGTGATTACTGTGTCCTCAAGTGGTTCGCAGAATTTTGGTATTCATCTAGATAATCTGTTGGCATGACTTAATTTTTTGGATAGTAGAAACTCCATTTTATAATTATAGTTCAATAGGATAATTCCCCAGCACTGCAGTCTATTTGATGTTTGTATAGGAACACCCTTTTTTGATTCATATGTGGACAATAATGGGCGATGGTCTGTCTGTAGTATGAATTTATGAAACTTTTTCAGAGCAAATATGATGGCTAATTCTTCCTTTTTAATCTGGCTATTTTTTTTTGCAGCTGCAATTAATGACCTTGAAGCATGAGCTATTGGTTTAGGTTTTCTGTCCCCATGTTTGTGTAGTATCACTGCTCCAATACCCAAATCACTTGCATCTGATGCAACCACAATCTTTAATTTAGGGTAAAAAATGAGCTAGTGACAAATCCAACGTTAAGACTTTCTTGATCTCTTCAAAAGCACTTTGACATTTATCTGACTAATTCCATTTCACATCATTCTTTAGCAGGTTATTCAAGGGTACTCTTAATATGTGCATGTTTAGTGTGTATACACACACACACACACACATATATATATATATATATATATATATATATATATATATATATATATATATATATAAAATAGTAATTAGCAAACCCTAAAAATGCTTGTAACTTTGTTACATTTGCTAGATTGGCCATGTCTTATTGGGCTCACCCTTGAAGGATCTAGTCATCTACTGTTTTCAGTGATAATTTGTCCTAGATATTAAGTCTGGACATAAACAGTTTGCAATTTCCTTCACTGATCTTAAAACCATATTCTTTAATTCTCTCAAATACTTATTTTTACATTTTCTGTATCTAGCTTTCAGGTCTTAAGTACATCATCTAAATATGCTGGTGCACAATCCAAACCAGGAAGCACCGTATCAATTATCTGTTGGAATATGCTTGGTTCTACCTTTATACTGAAAGGAAGGCAGTTAAATTTTTATCATCCTTTATGAGTGTTGACTGCTAATAGTTCTGAACACTCTTCATCTACTAGTACTTGTAGGTAAGCATCTGACAGGTTCAATTTAAAAAAAAAAAAAAATTGGCCATCAACTAATTTGGCAAAAATTTCCTCTGAACTTGGTAATGGGTAGTTATATTGTTTTAAACACTCATTTAAACCCGTTGAAAAATCAGAACATATGCAGATTTTATTAATTCTTTTTTTTAATGCAAACTTTTGGTCATGCCCATATATATATATATATATATATATATATATATATATATATTGCAAGGAATAAATATGAATTATTTCTTAAAGGCATTATGGAAACAAAATAAAAAATAAGAGATGATAACTCTCACAAACAGACCAACCGCTTTCGTTCCCAAGCTCATCAGGGTCGACTGGGAACTATTTCACAATAATTGCAATATAAATAACTCACACACACACACCCTACATACAATTAAAACTTTAAAAATGAAAAGATTAATGGTATGAAGGGAAAAAAAAAAAAAAAAATTTAAATAAGTAAATATTATATATATATATATATCTTTTTTAAACTGTGCAAATATGCACAATAAACAGGGGAAAAAAAAAAATATATATATATATATATAACGGAGTGTGAGGGGGGAAATTATGATAAACACTAGAGAATAATGACATGAAGCCCAAGGAGACAGTCTCTTTGCTTACACAAAGATGGCTCCCTGGACCGAATATATAGAGACTCTAGTGCTTTCAAATGGAATAGAGAGTGCGAACTGGATAGAACAGTGAACCAATTCGGACTAAAGTTCTTCGCACAATCCCTGCAATTTATTAAGTGCTCCGTGATCGCTGAACCGAAAGTATTAACCAACTGGCTCTTACGAGCTTCCAGATTGAGAACTCGTAATGGGACATGCTGCCTGATCCTACAATCTAAACGCTGGGAAGTCCTTCCTATGTAGTTGCTACCGCAACCACATTTAAAAGAATATATCACGGAGGAGACATGATGGGGAGGAAGAGGATCCTTGCACATAGAGGGAAAGGCAGAACGAGTCGCAAAATGAATTCTTAGTTGAGCAGAGAAAAAGCAGTCATGGACGGCTGACAAGATACGCTTAGCCAAAAGCTCACCTCGAGAACCAATAAATGGAAGCCGTAAATAAACAGGACATTTCTGAACACTGTATTGTTTTTCCTTTCGAAAGTTATTAATTTTATCACGCATAACAACATCAAGAATATCATTAGGATATCCATTTTGTAATAGAATGTGGCGGATAAAATTAAATTCTTCATCCAAAAATTTTTCGCTGCAGATCATCAAGGCCCTATGAGTTAGGGTCTTGATTAGATTGATTTTGCGTTTCCTGGAACAAAATGAGTCCCAACGCGTATACAGACCAGAAAACGTTGGTTTACGAAACACCGATGTAAAAAATCGAGAAGGAGTCCGATGCACAAGTACATCAAGAAAAGAGAGACACGAATTAGACTCCTTTTCAATGGTGAATTTTAAGGATGGATGAAGTTGATTCATAACTGTAAGAAAAGAATCAGCTTCCACTTCACTATTAAAGAGACAAAATTTATCGTCCACATATAGTTGGTACATAGACGGTGCAATGTCATAAGTGAGGAGGGACGACTCATAAAAGCCGACAAAAATGTTGGCCAAAGCGGGACCCAAAGGAGAGCCCATAGCTACCCCATCTAACTGTCTGTACATGAAATTGTTAAAGCTAAAGTCCACAGACATAGTAGCAAATTTCATAAGCTCAACAAAAACCATTTCAGGGATATCCGAGGTGACAAACTACTTCGATATAACATGTTGCAACAAATATCAATCGTTTCCAACACTGGAACACAAGTAAACAAAGAACATATGTCAAAAGAACACATAAATTTATTTTTAGAAGGAGTATCACGAATAATCTGAGCAAACGAAAAAGAATCTTTGATAGTATACGAACTAAAGTGTTCAACAACAGGTTGAAGAAGGTTTGAAAGAAAACTTGCAACCTTATGTTGAGACGAGCCTGACATGGACAAGATGGGTTGAAGGGGTACATTTTCCTTATGAATTTTAGGAAGGCCATATAGACGAGGACGAATAGATCCAACAGGTCTAATATCATCTGTGACTTCACGAGATATTAACCCACGTTTGGCCCAAGATAAAAGTTTCTTTTGAAACTTGATTTCTAAAGGAATAGTACGATCATGTGTCTACTGGACCAAGAGGAAGAAATTTAGTGGTGTCACTAATAATGCATTGCATTTTAGAGACATAATCAGAATGATCCAATAGAACAATACCAGCCCCCTTATCAGGACGAGTAATAACCAAGTTGTTATTTGCCTTTAAATTCTTGACTACGGAACGGTGCTGCTGACTCCACTTAGACTCAGAAAGGGCTACCGGAGTTAGAGCATAAGTATGCGCGGAGCTGTTGAGAGTAGCCTTAAGATTAGAAAGCAGATTAGAAAGCAAGTCAGCAGAACAAGGCACAAGTCTGCACAACTGCGAAGATAGCACTTCAAATTCGGAAAAAATTTTTTCCTTATCAGGAGTCCTAAATGGAATGCAATGGTCAAGGCCATGCAAAAGTATGTCCCATTACGAGTTCTCAATCCGGAAGCTCGTAAGAGCCAGTTGGTTAATACTTCCGGTTCAGCGATCACGGAGCACTTAATAAATTGCAGGGATTGTGCGAAGAACTTTAGTCCGAATTGGTTCACTGTTCTATCCAGTTCGCACTCTCTATTCCATTTGAAAGCACTAGAGTCTCTATATATTCGGTCCAGGGAGCCATCTTTGTGTAAGCAAAGAGACTGTCTCCTTGGGCTTCACGTCATTATTCTCTAGTGTTTATCATAATTTCCCCCCCTCACACTCCGTTATATATATATATATATATTTTTTTTTTTTTTCTCCCCTGTTTATTGTGCATATTTGCACAGTTTAAAAAAGATATATATATAATATTTACTTATTTAAATTTTTTTTTTTTTTCCCTTCATACCATTAATCTTTTCATTTTTAAAGTTTTAATTGTATGTAGGGTGTGTGTGTGAGTTATTTATATTGCAATTATTGTGAAATAGTTCCCAGTCGACCCTGATGAGCTTGGGAACGAAAGCGGTTGGTCTGTTTGTGAGAGTTATCATCTCTTATTTTTTATTTTGTTTCCATAATTGCCTTTAAGAAATAATTCATATTTATTCCTTGCAATACTATGGTTTTGTACCTCCAACAATATATATATATATATATACACACACATTTTCAATTATCAAAGGTTCTTCCAATTTAAACAACTTTATTGTTAATACTGATTGTTAAAGGGTAATATATTTCAATTTAAATTAAATTACCAATTTAAACTTTACCTCCATGTTATTTAAATTCACTTCCAACTGGAGAATATTACAGGAGAGATTTGGATAAAATATTACTAGAAGAAAATTAGGTCCTTCTTTTACAATCTTTTATATATCCATACTCATATACACTTCTACACATGTCCGAACCCCTATCTATATCCACATACCTATATCTCACTATATATCTATGAGTTCTTATATACACCTGCACACATATCCACACGAAAACTATATGTATATTCCCATATCTACACATATACACCTGCAGAGAAACACATACCCACATATCATCATACATATCTACACGTACACCTATACTTACATATACACATAAAATCACCTGCATATCCATATACATCCATGTAATACACATACAAATACCCATATATGCCCATCCATACATACGCATATACATTTACGCACATATACGTATACACACATACACACACACATATACGTATACACACACACGTATACGTATACACACACACACACGTATACATACATACACACACACGTATACATACATACACACACACGTATACATACATACACACACACATACGTATACATACATACACACACACGTATACATACATACACACACACATACGTATACATACATACACACACACACATACATACGTATACATACACACACACACATACGTATACATACACACACACACACACATACGTATACATACACACATATACGTATACATACATACACACACACACATACGTATACATACATACACACACACATACGTATACATACATATACACACACACATACGTATACATACATATACACACACACATACGTATACACACACACACACACGTATACATACATATACACACACACACGTATACATACATATACACACACACGTATACATACATATACACACACACACACGTATACATACACACACACATATACACATATACACACACACACGTATACATACATATACACACATATACACACACATACATATACACACACACACACACACATATATACATACATATACACACACACGTATACATACATATACACACACACGTATACATACATATACACACACACGTATACATACATATACATACACACGTATACATACATATACACACACACGTATACATACATACACACACACACGTATACATACATACACACACACATGTATACATACATACACACACACATGTATACATATATACACACACATATGTATACATACATACACACACATGTATACATACATACACACACATATGTATACATACATACACACACATATGTATACATACATACACACACATATGTATACATACATACACATACACACACACATATGTATACATACATACACATATACATACACACACATACATGCATGCATATACATATATAATATGCAATATATCCACATACATACATATGCATGTACACATATATACACACGTACATGTCTATACCCATGTCCACCCATACACCCACTTATGCCTGCATTCGAAGACTATATCAATATTTAATTACATTATGGATACCCAAATCGTATAATTATACATATCTCTACACATATATTACCCGCTCTTCCATATCTATGGCAAGACATATAGGTACCCATCTAATTGTACACCTCCATACTCACATAAAAAAAAAAACAAAAAAAAAACCCTTGTATGCCTCTCTTTCCATATAAAAACATATACATGTACATATCAACAGGTGCATCAGTGTTCCAGTACATTACCATAGTTGTATACATACAGTCATGTGTTGGCGTTCATGCGTGCATAGTAATATTTCCAAAAGCAAAGGGAACAAAAGTCATTCAATATTATTCTTCCTATATAATTATTCCTCAATGTATTTACTTAGGTTTAGGTTGTTTTTGTGCCGGCATTTAAAAACTAGTTCATTGTGTCTATTTAGTAATATGTCTGGATCTTTATGTTTGATTATGAAGATTTTCTCCTTTATGCATATGTTTTAAGCGACGTCTAGCCGACACACAGTGGGGTTAAGAATAAGGAATTGAAATGGTACATCTAACTCACTCATATCTTCTCTCCCACCTCACTTTGTTAATTTTACATATGCTTGATGCGGTCCATCAAAAATGTGTGAATTTCTTTTCATTTTAACCTTTGGAAGTAAAGTCTGATGATCCAGAGCCCTGTTAAAGGGGTTGTGGTGAAATAACTTATTACATGGAACCTTAAAGTGGTCTGTTTTTATTCAAACACATCTGCTCTGAATTTACATTGAGCTCTCCGGATATCATCCTCCTTGGGTCTACCCATGTGGATTACCTAGTTTTGCATAAACTATATATATATATATATATATATATATATATATATATATATATATATATATATATATATATATATAGTTACTGTTAGCCCATATTTGTACTCTCACCCCAAATTTTACAAACATGTTTTTAAGTACAATTGCGTTTGAGACAAAATATAGGAATATTAATAATTTTTTTTTATTTCCATGAAAACGCAGATTTTAAGATATATTTTTTTTATTACCAGTTAATTTGTAGCCAGTTCTCTGAAGAGAACCTCCCCTTTCCTCATCATTTCATGTCTGGCCTCTAATCGTAGGCCAGACGAACGCTGTGTGGCAAATAGATGCAAGTGACCCCATCAGGATTATATGAATCACGCCTACACATTTTTCGTAGGCCGACACATGATGGTTTTGTTTTGCGCGTGTCGGGGTAACGATCCTTCACGCAGTTGCTTGTCCTCGGAAGAAGCAGATGTCATCAAATACCAGTCTTAGCTGTTTGCTGCTCATAGAAGTGGACGTCACCAAATACCAGATTTCGCTGTTTGCTGCCCGAGGAATTAAGAACATCATCACCCAAGTCGGCTACGCTTTTATGATTTGCATGTGTATACTAGAACATTGATAATACCTCCCTTTTATGTTCTAAAGAAAAACAAGAGAGTGTATGAACATCCTTTTCGTTAAACTGTGTTATTGATAAAAACCCGATCGACATCAATCTCCATCTCCTGTAAGTGTTGCATGTTTTTATATATCTTATTATCTGCTTGCTCTATATATATTCCTATGATATTCGTCACCGTAGTATTTATCTAATTGATTACTTATCTCCCCATCCCTTGTGTTATTAAGTTTTTTTTTTTTTTTTCTTGTCTTACTTTCACACCTTGTACATTTGTAAATAAATTGTTTGTGTCATAAATTCTTGTATTGTCTCCTGTCATTCTGTGTCTGCATATTGTTTATTTCTTACTGCGTTTACCAGTGTCTTGATTTGGAGAATTCCCTTCCCACTGTTCTTTTCTTTGTTTTTGCATTGAACCTTGGGATCTCTTTCTTCTCTTATATTTTTAATTTTCTCGTTGTGTCCCAGCTATCGTAGTCCCAATGAAACCCAGGCGTAACTATATATATATATATATATATATATATATATATATATATATATATATATATATATACTTGCATGTATATGCATTTAAATTTATCTCCCCCCATATGTATCACATAATATTACACAGCTTTGCTAAATATATTTAATGGGGAAAAAAGAAAAGAAAGAAAACTCAAATATGGTTGGTTGTGCATACAAAAGGTTACCATTCCTGCTCTCCACTAGATGATTCTTTAATATAATTTTAAGCAGAGGAAAAGTCAGTAAATCTTACCACAGTAACATTGGATTGCAGACGTTGACGAACATCATTAAAAAATGCTTGGCAGTCATGGCAAATTTTGTCAGGTTTCTAGAGGTAACAAAACAAAATAGAAATTGAAATCTCAAAAGGTCAACCCGATTTCTAAAGAAAAAATAGCAAACAAATATCAAATTAAGTTAAAGCGTATTTTATAAACATAGGGTACAGGAAGAATGATTCTATAATTAAAATTAAAGTTTCTGAAGTTTTATCACAAGAAAAAAAAAAGGAAAAGAACATATACATATCTTAGATTCAGCCATGAAAACAACATTTGTGATGTAGTAGTAGTAATAATAAAAAGCAGTTTCAAGTCAGCCTGCATATATTAACAGATTCTTTCTTATTTTTATCCAAAGAAATATTATGAAAAGTAATGTCAAATACATTGCACATGAAAAATATTGTGTAACCAAATATATTACAGAAGACAAGATTTTTTTTTTTTTTTTTATCCAAGCAATACATGTAGGTATTGCCTTGTTAGAAACCCAAACTTAAGAATCTCAAATTAACCAAGATCATGCATACCCAAAAAATATCTATCAGTTACAAATCAAAATGATTAACAGATTGTAGAGTTACCATTGTGGTAGTCATAACTACTGTTTTTGCAATTGGAGATGATTTCTGCTGAGGACACAAGTTAATGGCATAGCAAACAGCTCGGTGAGTCTACAAGAAAAAATAAAACATTTAAACATTCGGCTACACCTTTATTTAAAATCATTCACTTCAATTTCCAAGAAAAATGAGTGTCTGGTATATTTTTTTTACATCACAAAAAAAGAAACATTTTTAATTTTGGCACTCTCAATTGATCTAGTTGTGCTATTATTTTTCATTACTTTTTCATGTGCTTATATCCAATAATAAACTGAGGGCTACTACATGAATTGTGCATTTCTGCGTGCCCATCTAACAGTTTCCAGACCATATTGATGTCTAATAATGACACCAATTAGTACTTTTGATTTGATACTGATGGGTTATTTTTCTTTAGGGAAGAAAAAGGGAAATTTGGAAAATTACAATTTTCTCTCAAGTTACATGCTATCAAGAAGGTAAATTGAAAGGATGAAGCAGAAAGGTTGGAAATTGTTGAAGAAAAAAGAAAATTATAAAACTAAAAGAACAATTAGTTGGCGCATTACCAGATAAAAATCAAATGAGAATTTGTGAATGTAAAAACTAATTCAAGCAGCACAAAAAATTAACTTGCTTAATTGACTGGTTTAAGCTGCTACTCAGTCATATGAAATCATGAATCTGGAAAAATTTAATTCAACTTATTTAATTTTAATTGTTACAGCTGAGATTTTTCTACATTCATTATTGTAACCTGCTCCCATTTAGTTCTAAAGACACTACAAATTGATAAAACAATCACTTTTTGAGAGATACAACAAGTGCTACAGGAGATTATGTGGGACTTCTTAAAGATTTGACAGAACTGTATTAAAAGTACATACAAGTTACACATTTTGCTTCACTTATTTAATGATGGGAAAAATAAATCAAAGAAATTTTACAGATTTAAAATGTTTTAAAAAGATAGGATTACAAGTGTTTAGTTCAAGCAACTGAAATATGTAATAAAAGTAACTAATTCTACATAATTCTCCCCTCAAAAAGGATCCTATTAATACAGGATTAGTAATAGTTAACATGTGCTTGGATTATCACACTTTAACTGTATTATTTTCCTTACAGGATCAGTTGGTCAGTTGAAGAAAAACATACTCACCAGTCCAAGATCCAACAACTGAAGAACCTCAGTGAGATACTGGGCAATATCTTCAAGGCACTGTTATAAGAAAAAAATTGATGAGTGAATACATACTCACATGGTGAGGAAGAAATGTTTGCAGTAAGATTTAAATTAAAATTTTACATTAACTACAAGAAACATGAAACCAAATGCAGAACAAGTAATATATTATCAGCTATTAATAAAAACTTATTCTTTAGAAATATGATGCAGTAAAATTAGTTTCATGCAAAAAAAAAACAAAAAAACTGAGAAACATCCACAAGTGTGTTCTTGCGTATTGTCTACAATCTCAAAAACAGCATCAGTGATGAAATCATCAAAACTCAGAATTAGATCTTCATTAATGCCCTTAAGACCAAAATTCCAAAGGACCCAACAACATCCATGTGTATGATAACTGTTGAGCTAAAAGTGAACCCCAAGACTATCACAACAGCCATGTATGATGACTTGGCACTTAAATCAAACACCAGAACACCAAGATACCCCCTCAAAGTCCATGAAGGCCAAGAGATAGGAAAGGTGCAAAAAGTACTCGAGTACCTCAAGAAATTTGGGTTCATGATTAGAATATTTTGACAAGAAAATCTACCATGCAACCACCAAGAGGGAAAAAAAAAAAAAAAAAAAAGCATGTCTCCACTCTCCTATAACCCTATAGAAAATGTGAATTCTGGTGCCTGATACAAGGCCCTGAGATGTTTTGCCAAGGCTCAAAGTTAACTCCTCAGAGGACAACTATGTGTGGACCCAGGACAGTGGTCCAAGCCACACAGGCAAGAAAGTATAAAAGACTTGAATCCAATAGCTTTCACAACATCTGTCTATATCTTTGAGATGAGGTATTATGATTATTTACATTATTCAGACTTATTCTCATCTTCATTGCCATATTCACAATGTTTTGGCCATTGTACACTCTGACCTTCAGGTGATCTCAAACCAAACCCTTTATTTCATCCACCGGGGTAGATTGTTCCAGTTCCACATGGTATGTCTCTTCCAGATGTATCAGTTATTTCCCTTTAATTCAACTTTCCAAGTTTTTTGGTTCACTACTGCTGTAGCCTGGTATTGAACTCACAACTCTGAGTCTAGTCACTGGATCTAACCAATGCCTTTATCCACTGGCCATAACATGTGAAACTAGAACGATCTACCCTGATGGACGAAATAAAGGGTTTGGTTCGAAATTCCAATCACCTTTAGAAAGCCAGAGTGTACAATGGCTGAAATGTGAATATGGCAATGGAGATTAGGATAGCAGTAAATAGATGTAAATAGCTTTCACAACAGTATCTGTCTATATTTCTGAAATGAGGTATTATATACACTATTTACATTGTTCGGACTACAAGAGGAGGACAATAACACTCAGAAAACAGTCTGCCTGCCTTATGTGAAGGGGTTATCGGAGAAAATACAAAGGATCTGCAGTCCATATAACATCAGGACAACCTTCAAAATGTGGATAACACTTTGCAGATACCTCTCCTGAGTAAGACCCCCAGATAGAGGAGAACATGACTAAAGACTGTGTGGAAACCATCCCATGCAGCTGTAGAAAGAAATATAAAGAGGAGACAGGTTGCACCCTTAAGGTAAGACTTCAAGAACACCAAAAAGCTGTAACACGAGAGGAAGTAGAAAAATCAAATGTAGCTGACCACATATGGAGAGAAAAGGGAGATCACTGCCCTCTGTGGGATCAGGCTGAAATCATAGACAAAGAACATCATTGGAAAATTTGTAAACTTAAAGAATCAGCACATATGCTAGGCCACAAATATCTCCTGAGCTGACCAAGATATAGAAATGAATACAATATGGGAACCAGTAATAAGGAGTGCCAGAGAAAAGCAATAATAACAACAACGAAAATTGCAATATGAGCTCTAGTAAAAATGGTTGCTGAAGACATTAGGTTTATAAGTCCCAGAAATTCATACACAGATGTCCTCAAGGACACATGGCACAGTGGATAAAGGTGTTAGTTAGATCCAGTGACAGGACCCAAGGAGTGTTAGTTAAAATACCTGGTTAAGGCAGTGGAGAACTTGGAGAGGGGAATTAACAGGAGATAACTGATAATTGACATCCATTAGACATGGCATGTGGAACTAGAACGAAAAAAGGTTCAGTTCGACATTCCAACCACCTGAAGAAGGCTGGAGTGTACAACAGCCGAAAGATGAGGATGATAGTTCAAACAATGTAAATAGAGCTTTCACAACATCAATACCTTCAAGGCTGCTATCAAAAAATGGGCAAAGATATTCAATGACATCATGATTAAAAGTTGTGTAGTTTCTTGGGTGTATTGAGGCTGAATGTTGGATATTGTTATATTAGATATTATTAATGTTAGATGTTGTTATATTTCTTGAGTAAGTGTGGTTGAATAGGCCTTATTTGTTTGATCAGATCATGGCAGATCACTAATAAATGTTTCATGGTGCAAAATTCCTGACAGAATGTATTGTGATTGGGTCTCCCTTTACTCTTTTTTTTAAAGGAAGAAGGAATAGGTAAAGTAGGTATGTTCTATCTGAAGTTTAGTCAGAACCACTTTTTCTCTTATCCTTGAATGCTATTCACTAATGATTAGCTGGATATTGTGAAGCTTGCTACTTTTCCAGTTATTACATAACTTCTGCTCCTTATTGCTCATGAATTTACAAACGATTGGTTCCAAATTGGTTCATAGGATTTCGGTTCTTGATCTGTTGAGATTTTTTTTTCCTCAATTATATCCACTACAATGGATACCAATATGGCAAGGTAGCCAGCACAGGATGATGGTTTTGTTTTGTGAAAAGTATTAACACATTTTAACATTTCGGCAATTAGGGAACTTGTGTTACTCACAGCTCTAAGTGTGAACTTTGAATCTGAGAATATGCATTTATTGCATCTATTTTTTGTTTTTATGTCAAGTGCTAAGTTGTTGATCATGACCACTATATGTCAATCTTTATTTCCTAGAATGTTGGCACGTCCTGCTTTTTCCATCTTTGATCCATTGGTATATTTTATATATATAGCCAAAAACAACTATCCTGAAGATTTGAAAGTGTTCTTGAAATATATCATGAGGCTTGTTTTTGTTATAGTATGTTCAAGCTATATTGAATATGCAGTTGCTTGAACAACTATGGTATGGTTTTAGAAATGGTGTACTCCTGTATTTGTTTTGCATGTTTCTAACCAAGCCAGGTGAGAATTAACCATCATTTCTATAGTTTTGCATAAACAACTAGTTATAGAGTTGCAGTTGTAGCTAATTGATTTTGTGGTATCTTTAAGTGATTTAGGGATTGAAATAACTGTGGCTAAGCAACAGTTTTGAAACTCACCAGATTTTCATATGCTATATTATATGAGGAGGGACGTTTCAAGAATCTTGTTTCAGTAATAGAAATAAGTGCTATCTGATATAAAATTAAAGTTTTGCTTTTCTTCCTGAAGTTTTCAAAAATGACAATGATGATTAAGGAATTATTTCCAAATTAATTTGCTAATAAATTGGCTATATCTTGCTTTTCTATACATTTATTTATATTAATTCTGTTTAGAGGTAGTGTGGTAGCAATGGCATGTTTCTCCACTTTTCCAATCATTTTCCATATTTCCAGGATTATCATTTATTATTCTTAATGATATGCCATGCCTTTGTATAAGCTTTCTTATAGTTCTGTAGATTCTTGATTGTTGGTTAGTTTCATAAATCTTTTACAGTTTTTAATCATTTCACCCCAAGCAAGCTAATATAGTAACTAAAAAAAGTTATTTTGTGGCTTTCTTACATTCTACATTAAACCAGGGTCTGTTTGCTGTGTGAATTAGCAAACAATTTAGGGATTGTTTGTGTTCCAGTAGCAACTAGTTAGTTCATTAAAGTTAGTGGCTTCTTTATATTTGGGAATATTTATTTATTAATTTGCAACAAGGAAAGTCTATAAATGCAACCCAGTCAGCTCTATGAAGTTACCACTTTTAAACTATCTCCTTTAACATAAGTTTGTTGATATCAATTAAAATGGAGTAATGGTCATTTCCACATTGATAATTATTGATTCTACATTGGAAATCCAGGAGAATAGTTGGAGAATAAATTGATGAATCTACAGCTGGTATGGAGTCTGTGAATGGATGAAGATATGTGTATGATTTATCATTAAGACATAGATCAGATGTCTCTAATATAGATTCTATGGTAGCCAAGATAATTAGAATCCTTACTGTTACTGTTTGGCATTGAAGCCACCAAATAAATGGATAGATGCAGGAAATTGATCAATCAATATCTCAAGTTTTTTTAGTTTATATTTTGGGTTTACATAAACTGAGGATATTGTTACTGTAAAATATCATAGCTTTAATAATTATAGCTTAGAAGTTAATATCTAGTTGAAGCACCTCATATGGAGTTCCTCTTTTGATCAGTATAGTTTGAACATCCACTTGATCTGTTATTTATTAGAGATCTGCTTCTATAGTGTTTCTTGCAGACAAACCACATTTACTAGGCATTTGATTTCTTTGTTAGGTTTAAGGTCTCTGCAGTTCTATTGCAGTATGGCAGTTCTTTACCTGGCTGTCATTTTACTTAGTTAACAAAATTGGTGGCCTATTGCTTGGGTTCATTATTTTATGGCTTAGTTGTGTTTTTTTCTTTTTGACATTTAATCTATATCTAATGGGGTGTACTTTCCTGATGGAACTCTAGAGATTTCTGTAAGAAAACTCATCAATTTTAATTTTTGCTGGTTGCATCTCAGATTTTCAATCTCCATATCTCCAGTTCCTCAAATTTATTTTATGTTGGGATACAATTAGTTTTGCTTTTTGGTTGTGATTTGTAATTTGGATTTACTGTTTGCCCCCCTGTTTGGTAGAAATGCTTTGACTGGTTTTGACACTTTGATATGGGGTTCAGCTTAGGTCCCTACTGTGCTGGGATTCTACAGTTTTTAATGTTGGGTCATTGGTGAAAATAGATTCACTGGAATTAACAATGAATTTGGTTAAAATTGGTTTAATTCAGTCTGTCTCTCTGTGGATTAATTCTATAGTAGTAGGGGTTTTTTTGTGTGGGAGGGGAAATGGACAGCCTTGATTTCATTTCAGTTATAAACTTTGGCTTGTTTTCTTGTCTTGGATGTAGCAGTTTTTCAATTAGCACCTGATGCTTTCCCTGCTTTATATTGCCTTCTACAATTTTTCAGGACTGAGTATGTTTTGGTATGTTTAGGGTATATTTTATTTTCATTATCCTTTTATATTCCACAATTTCTGGAATTTGCTAGTGGGGGTCTCTCCTTCAGTTCAGAGTTAAAATCCTCATTCAGGTGGTCTAGGGTTTTTTTTAACATATTGGTCATCCCTTGCATAAATCCTCATGGTATCCAAATTTATGATAACTAGTACTTTAGTTGGTTAGGGACATGTTTGTCATATTCAATAGTATGTGCAATTCTCAGTTCTTTCAGAATTGTTAAAGTGTTGAAAGTTAGGATGTAATTTGTCTGTTGTCTCTTAATGCTTATTATTTTTTGCATCTATTACATGTTAACTTTTGAGAGCCATCTTAATTTCATGAGACAAATAAGATCATCACCGTGCCTTTGGATGCATTCAGAGTTTGGTGTGGGCTACAAACTCCCATAGTGTACTTAGGTAACAACTCCTACATACTTAACTAACATGTTAAAGACCAAGATACTTCAGTAATTTACTAATTACTTACTTTATCCATTAATTCTTTTCCAGACATTTGGTAACACAAAGTTTCCATATAAAGGCCAATCCTTTTCTGCAAAAGATTAAAAAAAAAAAAGCCAAATAAAATAATTTTGGATAATTTTATTGTCATAATTAGAACAAAGTGTTCATTTTTACTATAAATTTGGGATAAAATTTCTTAGTCCTTTCTATTAGTTACAGCCAATATGATAATTACTTAACCATGGATAGACATTACAGTGTAGTGTTAAGTAAAACTACCATAGCTTCATTTGATTCACTATACTTTAGTATATATTGCTATTATCACAACATCCTACACAAGTAATCTTGTGTTGTACTAAGCTTCTTATATCTGAGCCTGTTGCAGTAGGTTAGGTAGTTGTGAATTCTCTCAGCAGCACCATTGATTAGTGTTCAAGTTCAGAAAAAAAGTCAGAATTTTTACTTTCTCTTTAAAAGGGTAGGCAGTTTTACATGTTTTCTAACATCAAAAGCAAACCATTTCTCCGCATGATTTTAATTTAAAAAAGAAATCTAATATTCTCCATTTTAGAATAAAATTATCTGAAGTTAAGCTGTATTGTTTACAACCTTGTTGTTTTACAAATTATCTGAAGTGTGCTTAAGTTTGTATCTTGTAAAAAAAAAAAAAAAATAGTTATTTAGTTATCAAATATAAAATTTCAACAATCTTACCTGGGGAAGGTTTCTTGTATGTAATTTCTGAACTCCACTAACAAAGTATTCACACATTTCACAAAATTCAGTCTAGAAAGAAAAAAATAGAAGCTATTTATGAATAAAAATTGAAATATATTTACATGGTTAAAAGCAAATACTTATGCTCTGGCTTTTCATTAGGGCCAATCAGTTCAGAACATTGATTTGAACATTTTTCATTTAAATAAAGCAAATGAGTTTTTTTCCCCCCCACCATATGAGAACTAGAAATAGTCAGAACTGAGACATGCAGTCAGTTACAGTTTGCAAAAGTGAGCAGACATGTATTAGATGTGCTGAATTGTTTTAGATATTGTGTCCTTGTCCATTAAAAATAATAAAATTTATCTGGCTATAAGGATATAAACTATTTCATAATGCAATCCAAGGATTGCAACAACAGAAGAAACTGAAGGAATTATTTTCTCAAAAATTTTCTGTCAACATCCAACAGCAGATAATTCCATAATATATACAGCTGCAACCAATGCCAGCTCCATAACTGTTCAGATTTGACATTTTTGGGGAGAATTTTTCTGACCAGGCAGATGAGTGGAAAACCCAGCTTTTGTTACACAAACTCAGCTTAATCGAACACAATCAGTATTGCAACTATATTTTCCAAAAGATTCATGACTTGTTTATTCAAGCAAAGTGAACACATTGAAACAAATTTTCAGTGAGCTATCTTTATTTAATACTGTTTCATTGTCTTAATTTAACAAAATGTGATCCTGATGATTTCATTACATATGCTGGCATAGTTAATCATGAAGGTGAACTGTTTAAGATAGAAAACATCAGTGACTCATGATTTAAATGTTTGATTTTCACTTTGATTTTTCACTTGTTCACTCAGTGACATTGAAATCCAGATATCATGCTACAAGTGGTGGCTGAATGCTAGCAACTGGTCAATCTCATACATGAACAAGCTCTAGTGCAGCAATTAGTTAATTCAATAGCCACTAAAGCCAATACAATTCATCAAGATTCAACAAAATGTCCAGAACTATGATCCCACAAACCTCCATCTGCTTGCTGGAACTGTGGAAAATGGCACTTTCTTCACAACTGTGTTTAAAAAACACTGCTGCTGTAAATGCAAAAGAAAGAGACATAAGGATGGCAGTGTTCCCCACAGACCTGTGTAAAAAAAATTCCAGGACTTTTCAAGTGCCTTTCCAAGACTATGTTAAGTTTCAAGGACTGAAATTGGTAAGCTGGCACACATGCATGAACACAAAGTGAATGGTCATCAATTTCAAAAACACAAATTTCGTGATTTATCTTTGAATAGTTTGACAGATAAGATGTTCAAAGGAAAGCTACAACTGGTTCCAGTAATTCATGTCACATGGATCAGTTGAAAGCAATGAAGAAATCTGAAACATTGAGGAAAATTAGCAAATTTAAAGTTAAATTAATTTGTTCTGAAATAAATAGAATAAAATGTTGTATACAAGCATTTCTTAAACATGAGGTCTTGTTATTCAATGGTCAATATGATATAAATGTGACTGTCATCACGGTATTTAAATGTAACATTTTTTTCTACCTCCTAGTTGATATGGCACAGAATATAATCAGTCATACCCGTCACAATATGCCAAATGTAACTTTAGCCAGTAACCACAATGTCAGGTATCACAGTACAGTGAAGGATGCATAAATTGGGTGTGGCTATTTTCTTTGTTTTACATTGTATACCAGCTGGAATGAATTATGCAGCAAGTCTTTTTACTCATTCTAACAGGCCATGGTTTTATTGTGGTCCAGGTGATCTGAGTCCTAATGACTTAATTTGGGAAACCTTTCTGAAAAGCAGAAAAGGTTCTGGCAGAAGGAACAAACTGCTGATAAAGCTATCAACAATTTATTAATGAGGATATATAAAATTTATTAATGAGGGAATATAAAATTTGATCCATCACTATTCAACTTCAGTAAATACTTTTTTTTCCATGAGGCATTGAGAGATATCTGATACTTAAAATTCAGGTGTGTTGCCAACTTAGCTACTGCTAGAATTTTTAATTAAAATAGATGGCAGTGTGGCCTGACTGTGGACGAACTAACTGAGGAGACTCCTGGAAAATCCTGTGCACATTCCTGGTGGCTCCTCTACCAACTGATTATGATTTCATGCATGGTTTACATGCACTTCCATCCAGCAGATGACTGATTTCATCTCTGAACAAAGAACTTCCTATTAGCATTGCCTGTGACCTATGCTTCTAAAGTATTCAAGACCAGAAAATTGTGGTATGGTTTCAGTGTAAATCCGCTAGATAGGTTACTAAAAAAAAACATTTTTCAATTGCGTCTGGATTTTGCAGAAATTTGGTAAACACATTAAACTTATCACAACTTTTTTTTAAAAAAATCAGGTTTCAACCCGATTAACCACTCTCCCATATTTTTCGCTATCTATATTTCTTCACACAGGATTAAATCCTTCAATACCTAGCCACTAAATATTTCATGTACCAATATGACTACATCAGGGTCACTGTCATGTCAGCATTAACCTCCATTCAAATATTAAACTCCAATACCAAAATGAGTACAAGTCAGAGAAACATTACTTACAGGATTGTTGAGTGGTTGCTGTCCCCAGACAGCAGCACAGTGTTTCAGCGTACCACATTCTTTAGCCTTGCTTATGTGGCCACACCAATAACTTGGCCCCCAGGTACAATGGTTTGTTCCTAGCATAGAGTAGGAACGACGGGAAAGTATTGAATTGCCCAGCACACATCCTGCAATTATAAAATAACCAAGTCAGAAATATGAACTGTTTTGGAGGTTTAATTTTTTTTTTAATACACACAACCAATTAAATAGCATGCAGTAAAGACAAAAAAACATTTTGTGATTTCTATTTTGAATGTGTATGGATCCTTGTTCACATAGCAAAGGATAGTTTGTTGCATTAACATTTCATAAATAATATTGCTATGTGTCAAACATTAATTGAAACAAAAAAGCACAAACTCTGAAATAAGTTGTTTTTTTTTTCAACTAAATTTTGACAATTGAGATTTAATATAGAAAAAATCTTTACTGAATTTTGTTCATTCCCTTCAAAACTTCAATAATTACAATCACAAGCATATAAAAATGGCATAACATGAAAATTAAACTTTGAAATTTTTTTAATTCATATTTGTAAAATTTGTCAATGGTTATAAAGTTTGTTTTTGACAAAATTTTAAATAAGTATCTCAAAATAAAATTTTTCATTTTTTCAATAAAATCTAAAACCCAGGCATATAAAATTTGACAAAAGAAAATAAAAATAGTACCAAATTTATCTTGGTAGCTCAATTAACACTAAAGTTATGACTGAAGTTTATTAGCTTTCCATCTCATGTGCTATTAGGCCAAAATTCCATTTCAACAGCATTGAAGTTGCAGGCTTCAGAATAGTCAACAATCGTTATAAATGTAATGACATATAGTCATAAATTAAAAGAAATATTAATAGAATTAATAATTATTAGATCAGACCAGCCTAAACTTTGAAAAATTGCATTCTCAAAAATGAAATAGTTAAGACATGACAGAAGGTAACTTTTGAAGATTTCATTTCAACATGTAATATTTTGCAACTTCTTGATACAATTCATAGCACAGCAAGGATGAACCTATTTTTTTCCAGTATTACATCAATAAAAAGAAATCATATTTACAGTGTAAAACAGCAAGAAGCATAATTTGACAATAGTGTAAAAATAGGTCAATGTATACCATCCTGAACTTGCCATGAAATAGTATCCCTTGAAGGTACATGCTTGAAACTTTGAATCTTTACTTTTTTTAATTATGGGGTGAGGAATTGAATAAAACAGTTTCTTTTTTTCTGTAAGATGAATCCCTTTTATTACCCATGTATCAAATTTTGGAAAATTTTATTAAATTTGTTTCATGAAATGCATCATTGGTCAATCTGTCAAATAAATGCTTTTTCTAAAGCTTTAAAAACACCAAAATGAATAAAAATAAATTTATTAAAACTGAAGAAAACTTTCTGAACAGTTAGAATAATCTTCCTGCATTTTCTCTTCTAATGGTAATTTGCAGTCTGAATAAGCCTCTGCTATAACCAATATTCCTGGAAGACTCCATATCCTATTATCTCCAGGAAGTCCCCTCTAAAAACTAATTTTGACATCACTTGTGCAATATCCCAACAAAGGCCATCAAAAATAATCATTTCTGCCTTTAGTGGGACAAATGCAATATCAATGATTTAATCAATGCAAAACTTGGAGTAATAGTATACTGCAACCGATTGGCACTGGTGCTTGTAACTGAGGTCATTTGAAATGGTGGTTCATAATAAATGTTAGTGTTGTTTGAATATGCAAATACACTGAGCGCTTTTTCTTCCTTCCATTATTCCTTTACATGTGGAAGTGAAGTTCTTTTTAAAGTTATATCATTGTAATGTCTATTCCCTTCATCAGTTTTTAATTTGACCAACATACATTACAAGGAATTTGGGTTCTTCTTTGGCCTACTTTTCCCCACTTAGAAGAAAACTACTTCTGAGGGCATTGTTTTTTAAAAAAGATTAAATGTAAATTTTATTACCATATATACTCAAGGATACGTTGCCCCCTTTTTTCACCAAAATTTCAATATCATAGAGAATCTGAAGTAGATTGTGGCATATCAGTAGTTCAAGTGATTACTCTGGCTCAAGCATAAGCAAGACCAGAGGAGAAAATTCATTTTTCCCTTACATTTCAATTTTATACAATTGCCTCTTCCAACAGGACTGCATCACACATCAAATAAAAGTGCCCGATCTGCACTGTTCATATTTACCATTTATTATCTGACTAATAAAACTATCATTTTCAAGTGATTTTATGAGTCAAGTGATTACCGGTATCCAAATTTCCATCCAAACAGCAGCACCACATGCAATAAGTAAATACAATTTCATTTCAACCTCCAAAATAGGACTTAATCCCTAGAATTAGTAAACAAATAATCAAAGAAAACAGGAAGCATTTACATTTTGAAAATTACTTAACAATTACAATTTTTGTGAAATCATATGCTAAAGTTAAATTTTAGCAATTTATTTTATAAAATGTAACCATTTTCATTTTTTGAAAAGAAAATTTAAAATTTTCAATTTAATGCTCAAATATTGACAGCCACAAATGTAAATGAAATGAATGCCCATTAAAAGGAAACTAGACACTTTTTCAAAAATTTATTTTAATTTGTTACAAACATGTGAAATTTAAAAAAACTAAGAATATATCCAGTTTATGTATTTATTTCTATTTTATGATATGAATTCTGTTTAAGAGGTGAAAGTAATTTGAACATGACAGTTTGAAAATACAATGAATAGTTTTAAAAGGTATCATTAAAGAAAATATAAGAAAAAGATTTAAACTGTTTAATATCCATCAATAAACAAGTCAGATTTAAAATGGGGTTGAGTGTTCATTCACTTGGTTAGCAATACAGATTTAAAATGGGGTTGAATGTTCATTCACTTGGTTAGCAATACAAATTTTGATGCATCGGACCTGACTGTCTTGCACGAGATGAACAGTGTATACCCTCTTTTTGATTCTCATGCACCTCAAGTTGTGTGGGCACAGAGAAATCAACTGATTATTAAAGATGAGACATTGCCATACAAGAAAATGGAAATTTAATTTAAGTGTTGAATTTCTCTGGTATTTCGCCCACAAAAATTTACAATCTAGAAATTTTTTGTGAAAGACAACTTCAAATCTTATGGTTTGCCCACCAAATTGACATGTGTCTTTTTTTCTTTTTTTTTAATATGGGACTATTTTGATGTGTGTAAACATAACTCAGACTGCAACTAATTTGAGAAACACCACAATGAAATAGTCAACTTTGAAAATATGTAAAAAAAAAAAAAAAAATATTGCTGTCATTGAAATAGTGAAATAATTTAAAAAAAATGTGAAATAAAAATTCATCAGAACACAAGAGAAAGAATTGTATCTTTAGAAAGAGAAAAGATCGAAATTTGTTTACATCGTAATTTTATCAAGACTATTTTTTTTCAATACTATCTTGAAAATAAATGAGATATCAGCAGTTGAAGTACATTCATGAAGCACTTAAAGAATACCAAAACTTGATTCAACTTTATCAAAGTTAACATTATAGGTATAACATCTTGCTGAAACAGTATTACTGAGAGAGTAAGGTATTTATAGGAGTCATTTGCCCAAATTTTCTCTTCTGGAACCACTGGAAAACTTAAATCTTTTGTCAAAATATCTGGTACTAGAACTGAACACAAGGAAAAATGGCTTACAGGCACATCACATTGAGACCCAGTTCCTGTATGATTGTCGAAGTTAAACTGCATTGAGCCTGGTCAGTACCTAGGTGGATGATTGCTGGGGAATACTAGGTGCTGGATGTGTGGGTAGCGCAATGGCTTGGAATTGTTAACAGGAGAGTAGACTTCTAATTCCCATTGGGTTCATTATATTCAGTTATGTTCAAATCCCCTTGGGAAAGATATTAATCCACTACTTCTGAGAGCTATAGGTTTTTTAGTAAGACTTGTATCACTAAAACCATTATTATCTCAGAAACAGAAAAAAAAATAATCTAAAAATATTTACTGGCTTTAAATAACCTTCAGAGAGTTAAGTCATAGAAAAATCGTTCAAACAGAGAAATGGATTCATTCATTTCCTAAGGGCATTTATGCTAAATGAACATGTGTATCCTCAATGGAAAACTTGAAATGTTTGCTAATTTCATTTTTCATACATCTAGTTCAAATTTAAAATTTCTGTATTGCAGGACACCTGCTGTAGAGAAATAGTTATCTAGTTAGTCTTACAGACAGTTTACTAGCTGAGCATTCAGGTATTGTGATCTTGTCAGATTAAAATAAGCTTAATAGATAATTTAGAGGCGGTATCCCAAAGTAGAAGGAAAACTGAATTCAGAAAACACTGCTGCTGTAACGGCTGCAGTACATGTAGTGCCACTACAAACCTAGTGAGTTATGGGACTTGTGACTAATCAATTCCAAATTTTACAGTGAAAGCACATAACAAAATAGTGAAATTTCTTTCCATTTCAACTGTTGATATCTCATTTATTTTCAAGATAGTATTGAAAAAAAATAGTCTTGATAAAATTACGATGTAAACAAATTTCGATCTTTTCTCTTTCTAAGGTTATTTTTTTTTTATTGCAAGAACAAGAAAGCTCTATTTTTTAATTTCTGAACCAGTGTATCATAAAGAGAATTTTTTTGACAATGACAAGCTTATCTCTCCACTTAAATTTTTAAAAATGTTTTGAAAGAAAACTTTAGGCATATATCTTACATAGGTATGCCTAATAACTTTAATATTTGTACATTTGAATTCAGGTGACTTAAATAGTTAAGTCATTTTGCTAAAATGACTATATATAAGCTTATGTATTCCAACTAAGAAATGGAGCTTAAGAAATACACCTTCAAATGTCTAGATTAGTAATTAAAAGGTTAATCTTCCAAATGGCACAATTAACAGATTAAAAACAACCTAAAAACTCAGCTGCAGAAGATTAACCTGTCTTTGTGCTAAAAGTTACAATTTTCTTAGAAAAGAACAAAAAACTCCTGGTTTTATTTCTAAGAAAAAAATAACATCCTGTTCAAGTATCACAATTTTGTATTTTTACAGCAGCAAAATATCTAATTGAACAAAAAATAAAAACAATTAAGATTCAGTATAAGATA